ATAGGGAACACAAATTATAACTTTTATGTTCCCACTTTGTTCCTAAAAGGGAACATAAATTTTAAATTTAGTGTTCCCAAATCTTTTTAAATGTTCCTGAGAACACTGGGAACATCAAATCTTTAACACTGCTTCCCGGCTATAACACTCAAAAAGTAAGTGCCTTGCATTTAGTTTTACGTCTTCGCAACAGTGGGCGTGTAATTAGCTACTTAAGTGTGAGTATTTCGATTTTACAAATATTAATGGTATAGGAATGGTTGGTTTAGTTGACTTATAACACTAATTTATATGTCTGTTTTCATTATTCATAGGACTACTAAAAAAAATTCCAATTACCGAATTAGAATCGATAAATTACTGGTGGTAGTCGGCATTAGAAATTTATAATTTATCGATTCGGTTATATTAGAATAATTGTAATAGTTGTAAAATTAAAGATGTTTGAGAAATTATTTTTGAATTGACGAAAGATTTCGTCAAGTTACGTTCCTGACGAAACTTTTACGATTGACGAAACCCTTGACAAATCTATTCGACCAATGAAAAATCAGAATATAGCCAACTTTCATTGAATTCTTATAATGACTCAGAATATGCTGAATATTAAATTTTTTTAAAAAAAAAAATTGTCGTTCTTTATTATAAAGTTATGCCGGTTCGTATGGACAATGAATTACTAATCGATGATAAATCTTTTTCCTCTAAATTATACTTGGCGGATAAAGGTTCCAGGACAGTGCCTTTTTTTTAATCGCTGATATATTTTGATTAATATTTTGATTTTGTACCAGTATCCACATAGATATAAGAATTGAATATATAATTATAAAATTAAATATTAGTAGAAATAGTAAGAAAGTCCTGTCTAGGGGCTTTTTACCCCACAAACAATTAACAAGCTCATAAAAACGTTTTTACTACCACCTAAGGTTTTTTCGTTAAGGGCATATCGCATTTGCAAAAAAAAGGGTAGTAGGATTTATTCATCTATACATTACGTATTTACACACAATCATTCTGATTTCTATTTTAAGTTTGTGTTACAAGTATTGACGTATGTACCTTTTAAATATTTGATACACAGTCAATCGAAAAAAACAATGAATCAGATGATAATACAGTAAAATTTGTATACTTGTTGAACTCATTGATAAAAAGTGTAGCAATATTGGTCCCTTAATTGTTTTTTTAAAAAAGAAACTGATGCCTAAAAAAGGGTAACAGCATCTTATTAATAAAGATAACAAATTCATTGCTAATTGGTCAATAAAAACATTTCAAAGAAAAAATGTAAACGGCAAAAGCTAGGAATTGGGATTTTGATGTATGAATGGAAATTTTCTTAATTATTATTTTATAAACAGTGATGTTATAATCTGGATATCTGATATACTTACAATAGCCACACCCCTTGTTTTAAGAAATTCCTGTGATTATAATAGAGGTTAAATTTATATATTTTACATAAGTTTGTTTAAAAATTGGTGTGATTATAATTAGAATGACTACATAGAGTGTAACTATAGAAAGTTAATCATTACTTGTTTTAAAAAGTATCAGAAAAAATTTTTACCATTTGGTATCCAATTCGCTTCATTGTGTTATAGTTGTTGTATGGGTTGCAAATTTAGTTATTTTTTACAACCCATACAATAACTATTTTATTGCACGGTGTCTGACGTACAATCCTGTGCCAATAAGTAAATGAAAGAAGCACGTGTTGTTACATAAGCCCCGTGCGGTACACAAATATGCAGGTGATAGGCGAACATAGGATGAATTAAAAAAAATTTGACAGTCATCATCAGCTCCGTGGTTCATAAATCTGGCACCATGTGACACAGTACAACGTACGTACGTACGCAAAAATAGTGTCGATTTGAGTTAGTGCACAATTAGTATAGTGCATATTAATTAGTATGTTCGTAAGTACGTATGACAATTTTAAACCTTCCTCGTGCATGTAGAACCTTTATTTTCCCCTCAATGGTAAGTACGTATGTACATGTGTATATAAAATGAATTTATTGAAAACAAATATCAAAAAAAGTGCGCATGGATCTTTACATCATTGCTTTTATGATAATGTATAGGTTACACGATAATTAATATTGTAAATAAAAATACGTCATAGTTGATAAATAAATTCAACCGATTAAAGTTTATACTATTCCAATTTAAACCTAGTTTTTAAATTTTATTTTCCTAGAAAAATTCCAAACTTCTATGCAAATTGATGTTCAAAACAGCTATAATAATAAAAATATAGAATTGTAGCTTTTAATGTTAAGGAAGTAATTTTTTAAACGTCAATCATCATTATTTACCTGGCAATGGTCAGAAAAAATGAAATAAAGTCATTATTGTTGTTTAAGCACTCGATATAATAAAAGAATTTTAAATATTTTAAATTGCCCAATATCTATTTGATATAAGTTATAGTATGATTTTGTTCTTGGCTCGAAGACCTTACTATAATGAATTTCTATGTATAAAATTTTACGCAATTTTTTTCATTCTGAATCACAATGGTATCTACAGTAATACCTATCTAGTTTATTATAATTAAACTAAAAAATCGGCAAATTAATAAATTTACTACATGATAATAACCAGACTATAATTGTCATAAGACTACTTCGGTGAAAATGAGAACAATATGTACAATATGTACAACGTTTATTCATTGACGGCGGGGTCTTATGTTGAAAAAAAAATTAATTTATAATATTGTTAAACTGCAAACAAAATTGTCATCTGATGCTCAATCTAAAATCCGAAAATAAATTTCATTTCAAAATTATTTGCCAGTGCCAAGAACCATTTTATATAAGCATTGAATTACATTCAAAGATAGATTTGTTAAGTTAAATCTGTATTATAATTAGTATAAAACAAGAGGTGAATATCATAATACCAGATAACAAAAAACAACCAACATTTTACGTATGATTCATAAATAGTTATAAAACTCTACAACAAATAATTTAGCTGTTAGTAAAAGATTCATAACAGATTTGTTGTACTTTTTTACATCAAAATAAGTATTTGTTTTTTTCACTTTAGTTTTACAAAATTTATTTCTATTTGAAAATTTGGCGCCAAAACGTACATATAATAAAAAACGCAATCGAATGTTTTATTATCCAATCGAAATTGACTCATCATATTTGATTACGTAATCATAGCATTTGGAGCTTTTAAAAGATTGGATGTTTTTACTCCTGGTACTGTATATTCGCGTTTGCTATCTAAAATACGCTAGGTTGATCAAATATTTTTATTTTATCTGTTCATGTAAATAAAGTTTAAGATTGCAATTTTAAACTTTAATCTGTGTTTCATAGGGCGCAAATGCAAACACGGAACCTCCCGGTACCTTGGAGTAAGGATGGTAAAGCAACTAAGGTTTTGATATGTTTAAACTTTTAATAGTGTATCCGGATCATAAACGTCACCTGATTTAAGTCAATAAAAATCCTTTTGGAAGTATGGAATATCAAAGAACTAATGACTTGTTGATTTTCTCGACCCTTATCAATGTGATTATGTGTAACTCTCATTGCAACACAATTAAATAAGCATTTATTTCCTTTAACATAAAAATATATGTCATAAGTAAAAAATGTTGGCATTACTGCACTAATTATGAAAACTTTTTGGGAATCTAGTTTTCTTTTTTTGTCAGCCAATATGCACCTTTTATTGTACGTTCGAGATCTCCTTCATTGTAAAATGGTATAAATCGAATACGCTTACCATAAAACGCGATATTATATACACATATTTTGCAAGTGTATCTCCCAATTATGAAGCATTATTCTATTTTTGAGGTTGTATAAGCGCAGATAAAAAAAAAATGCGCCACGTATTTCTTAAAAAAAAAATAATATTTAAATTCGCTCTCTCATTCATTTTTTTAGTTATACAAGCTCCAAGTTTCTATTGTTCGAGGAAATGGATGAATCTTCTCATTCGCAAGACGTGCGCCCATCCAAAAAAGATGAGCGTCTATTTAAAGTTGAACATTTGTTTGAAAAAGGCAAGCACTTATCTAAAAAAGACGAACTTATGGCTAAAAAAGATATGTATTCGTCTAAAAATGGACTTAAAAAAGGAGAGCGTCAACATGAAAAAAACAAACTTTCACCTAACGTTCGTAAAATGAATAGATCTGAAATTATGAAATCGATTGAATTCTATAGAAATTCTAATAAAACCAGAACTCCTTCTGCTTTTTTACTCTTTAAGAATACAAATAAGCTTGGTCCAAAAGACGCCGGCGATGCATATAATGATTTATCAGATGATTTTAAATCTGACTATGATCGTTGTGCAGAAATTATTAAGAAAAGCATTTATGACCCAGAGACAGCCTATAGGATGATCGAATCTCCGCTATGCTTTTTCAATTATGATTCTGAATTTTTTAAATCTAATGCGCAAAATTGTTCAACTACGTCAAATTTCAATAACAATTCTGAAGAGAAATTATCTCATCATTCTTTCTCGGTCGAGCAAGCACCAAATGGAGAATTTATTCAAGACATGTTCTCTGCTCATGTTAACAACAATATGTTTGCTGAACAAAACACAGGCATGTCTCTTCTTCTTAATGATGGTAATATTGTCGAAGAGCAAATGTCACCCTTGCAATTGCTTTATCAGTCTCATGGCGAGCAAATACAACAGCCAGAATCCGATATGCCTCAATATCTTGACGTACTATCTTTTAATTGTGACAACATTGCCATAGGATCAGATCATATTTTAAATAGTATGCCATTTATGGCTCAAAACATGGGGGATATGCATACCTTTAATTATGTTACTACTGGTGAACAACAACCATATATGACTTCTACGTTCCAAATGTTCCATTAAGCATTACTCTCCGCTATCCTGAATCTCAATTATGCTTATAATGGCTGGCATTGGGACTTGAGGACTTGATAACGAATTGAAATTTGATGGCGGTACTACAGTGTGTTAAAAAGGGACTCGGGAAATCAGGCTTGGTATATTAAATATATTGGTGAATATATTTTTTTGCTTGTTGCTGCTACTTAAGACTGTCAAAAATTAATTCTTAGTAAATAGTATCATATTCACTTTATTTTTTGGCAACTTCTTCACATTTATATATGTTTAAATAAATAACCTTAAAAGATGTAATAAACAAAGTGTCAGTTTAGACAAAAAGATAGATAAATCAATAATCTTACCCAACGTTATTGATCCTTAAGTATTTTATTTTGTTATTTACATATCAACATCTAGAATATTACGGGCTGTAATATCTACATGATTCTATGGAGATAGCATAAAATTTCACCAATTTTTTCATTTTGAATCATTTATTTAAAACCACCGGTATGAAAGAGTAGGCTATTTAAAGTTTGCTGTTATGGTATATTTCTCTTATTATTGTAGGCTGAGTGAGTTCTTCGGGATTACTGGATTTAATATCACATTCTATGACTTTTGATCATCCAATAATCGTCCAATAAGATTGTATGTCACGTATGACGTATAATATATTTTTATACCTCGGTTCTACCAAAAAACATTTCATAAGTCTGCAAACAAATGCTTATTATTCTTATTTCCCTTAAATCAATTTTTTATTCTTTATCTGACGCGTCCAAAATAACGCGTCCAAAATAACGCGAAATGAAATAAATAAATAAATAAATAAATACCTAGTTTTATAAAAGGAAGGCGAAAATATTAAAAATATTAGCTATCAACGCAATTTAAACTTAAGATATGCATTATTAGTTAATCATCATTCCTGATAGAAAATTTTGATTCATAATTGCCGTGTTTTTATGTTATTCTTATCCCGAATTCTATAACAATCGAACGCCAATTTTTTAACAAAATTCAATAATTGAGTGTATTTAAATTGTGAAAAAATTAAATCCTTTTTTTGTCACCGACTATAAGCAATGGAATAAATGAAAAATATAATTAACAAAACTACCGGTTCGCTGGATTATGTGAGAATAAACAATCAATTTTCAAAATTAGTTTAATTCATAGGGTTCTGCAAGAATGAAGACAAATTATTATATCTTAATTTTTATATACAACGTACACAGTCTTCATTTATTTTCAGGATGAATAGATTGTTATGCTCACTTAAAACGTTATAAAATAACTCTTTCAAAATAATCTGAAGCCTTCCTATTTGAACTCACAAGGTTATCGTATTAATTAATCATACTGTAAACCCATACATATATACATTTGAGTCTGTATTATTAAGAAACTTATATTAATAATTATTAATAAATCGCACGCTTATTTTCATAGGAAAGATGTATTTAAAGAGGGTAAGGTTGGGCTCATGTATTAAATATAGCTTATGAAAGATGATGACATAATCAATTAAAATCCCTACCTAAGCCGAAAATTCCGAAAAACTATTTTCTTGACAATTTAAAATTTCAATTCCTTGGTATTTCACTGTATTGACAATCTTGACAATTCATTATGAGCACCGAGACTGCTGGTAAATCAATATCATGATAATAAATTTTTAAATAAAAAAAGGCAAAAATTTAATTTTTATGTCTAATAAAATGATAATTAAATTAAACTAAGCCAGTTTGACAGACCAAACAACAACCAGCACAATTCTATCATAAAAAGATGTACCTACCATCTTTTTTCATCGAGATAATGAATTCACTTCACTGCTAAACTAATTTAATTAATTATCTAAAGTTACTCTCCAAGAGAGCTCTCTACAAGTGATTGAAATACTATGATTAATTAAAAGTAATCCTTACGGAAATTTTACTGAAGCTTCATAATGCAAAATGCGAATATTAAATTTTAGCCAATCTGCACAACTCTATGTTTAAAAAAGATGGTCTCGATCATCTTTTTTTCATCGAGATAATGAACTCACTTGACCGCTAAATTATTTTCAACTAATTTGCTCCGACCTATTACTGACAGATTTCCTAACTATAGGCGTTCTCAGTTTCTATTTCGATTTTTTTACCGAACAAACTGATTGGTTGAAAGTTGATAGTAATTATAACTTGGTCAAGCTGCAACCACCAATTTTTTTTTTTTTTTTATAGAGCTGCGCTGATTGACTAAAGTTAAGCGTAACCAAAAAGACAGCATATGTAAATTCTCACATTATTGTTATTTTTTATAATATGATCTTCAGTAAGACTGTCATCGATACCAAAAAATCACGATGTTCGTATTAAAACTCTTACAGCTTTATTATATCTCGTTATAGTTCATTTAATATTAAAGAAACTATAAGTAACTTTACCGAATATGACATTACTGTAATAATTGAGTAGTCATATGGCTGCTGTTGCAATAAATGACTTATAAAAATTGTTAAGGACGAATAGCTGGAGACAAAGTTCTATGAATTAAAATTTCAGATGCTAAACTTTTGAATACTAAAGTTTTAGGCAATTAGGCAATCTCCTTTTTTCGGAACCATTGTGGTAATCGGTTGAGAAATATAAAAGCCCAAGCATTGGTCGTCATTTTTATATCAATTGATTGTAGCGTTTGAGCATCGTTTCATCATAATTCTATTGCATTGAACGAGGTGCTTGAAAACGGCCTACATAATAACAGGAAGAACCGTAAATGATTCCAATATGTTTAATCGTGAATTTCAGCTAATCGGCCAAATAAGAATGCAAAAAAAAACAAAAAAAGTTGTGAGATTCACAGAAATTCAAAGAATAACTAATAAAGCGAGGTGAAAACATTAATTCATCCGTTATTTACTCATACTTCATGGAAAGTTAAATATCCGGGCTTTCTAATAGGAATATTGCAAAAACATTAAAAATTGAGATTTCAATTGAGTACCGCATTTGTGTGCAATAACGCGTAGGTGTATAATTTTTGAATTTTGGCCTAAATTAAGCTTAATTTGGATCATTATTCAAAATAATGCCCATACGAGGATGATTCAATGAATACATAGTACAGGAGTATTGTTACAATTATATCGTGTCACACATATGGAGGGTAACAAAATTGACTGCGTAAAAAACGATAAATTTTCAGATGCCTACGGTTGCAAGAAATGGTGTTGTCTTTAGCCAAGTCGCCATAATTAAAAGAGCGATGTCTTGAGCCGATTTTAAGAGTAGTACAGTATTGGCTCGACAGATGATGAGTAGCTTCTTTCTCTTTGTCAACTATACCACTTTTAAAAGATTCTGAATTGTAAAATTGAGGAAATACAAGAGATTTGATCATCATCCTATAAGCTTCTCGAGGTTATAAATACTTTTCTTAATAAAAAAATAATTTCTGCATTCGCAATTTAATTTGAAAACAGGTGACAATTCTTATATTCTTTTCCAGCATCCTTTAGATTAAACTTATTTGTGCTCTTAAAAAATAAAGAAGAATCGGGAGCTCTATTTTTATTAGAAAATTTAGAGAACTCAATTATTTTAATTTCTGATTTAAGTGTGAAATGGATACTCGTCTTCCTCAAACACATTCCTGCCTTTTTTTTTTAGTCAGAACGCCCTTCTTTTTTGGATAGATGCTCAAACATACATTCTTCTATTTTTAATAGACATTCTTCTACGTTTAATAGACGCTCCTCTTTTAGATGGATGCACGTCTTGGAATAAAACTCATCCATTTATGCTTGTAACATACTAGTGCTTTATTTTGCATTATCCTGGCTTTAATATCATAAATTCCATATAGGTTATTTATAAATCAGTGTATGGTTATTAAAAAATTTTCGATCAAAAAACTAAATTTAAAGAGGTTTTATACTTTTAATGTGTTCATTAGAAATGTAACGTATAAGTGCTATTATTTTTTAATTATTTAGTAAATATTTTTCTTTTAAAGTACATATGAATATATTCTTTTATGAACGCAAAATGTTGCAATCTTTATAAATTCTCGGAAAATAACCTGCACAGCTTCGTTCTATATCGATGTGCATTCGGATTTTTCAAGAACTTTGTGTGACACTAATAATCGATACACAAATAGCCTGTACAATTACAAAAAATTAAATTTATACCTCTTTAAAAATTTATGCTTTTTTTTATTCATGATAAAACTTGTATTAGACATAATGGCACACTAAATTGTTTAATTAAAGTACGTACGTACATACGTATCAAAACTCTATTTAAACAAAAAACAATCGTTTATCTGGAATGGTTTGGTAAGATTGCATATGTAGTATTGCATTAATTTTGCATTACCTAAATGTTAATTCTTATGTACAAACAAAATATTTGTAAGCCGGAACTTATTAAATCCGCTGAAATGTACGCATGTCTGAAAATTAGCACAATAAAAAAACGCGGTCAAATAATGATTGATTAAATAGGTACAATCACGACAAAAAAAATATTAAGTAGGCATTTCACTATTGTAGACATATGCTAACTCAGTTCTGCGTTTTTTTTTAGACTTTCTTGCATGTATTAGCATTAGGAATTTAGGCATGCTATTTTAGATGCCTTAAGCGGCTGTTACAAATAGAGATCTACTCAGATATAACATAAACGTATGTGGAAATAAACTAAACTCATAAAAATTTAATAGTTAAATCTGCAATATATGCACTTTTCAATTATATAATAAACGAACAATAGGCATTCGCCAAAAAGTGGTACTAAATTTTAATTTTTAGGAATTATGCTGTCCTCTTATACGTATATATGAACATTTTTTATAATAACTTAGTACTTTATTTTTAATATTATTAATCAGATAATTACAAAAAAAATTTTAACAAATGGGTGTCGACAAGCGAAAACAGGGAATTGTGAGTTTTCTGAAATTAATTTTACAGATCAAACCCCGAAAAATGTGATCGGCACATGATTTAACCACACCACATATCA